TGATTCTCTTGCCTCAGCCTCCTAAGTAGCTGGGACTACAGGCACCTGCCACAATGCCTGGCTATTTTTTGTTGCAGTTGTCATTGTTGTTGAGCTGGCCTGGGCAGCCTCAGTGTATGTGGCTGGATCTGTTAACCACTGTGCTATAGGCACCAAGCCATTATGTTTTACTTTTAAAAGAAAGAAATGCATCTATTATATAATTTTATCATTGGCAAAGATAATTATTATTGTAACTAAAATCTTTTAAATGCTCAGTATGCTGAAAACTGTCCTAAACAATTCACTTGTAATATCTACTTAGTCCTTTCATTTACCCCAAAAAGTAAATTCCATCATTATTTTCACTTTATTTTTAAAGAAACAAAGGGGCAAAGAAATTATGTAATTATTCAAGTTCACTCATGTAATAAATAGCGGAACACAGGCAGTCTCACTCCAGGAATGCCATCATAGCCAGTATAGTATACAGGCTTCTCTGTCATAATCTTTTGGAAAATACAGGTCTCAACTCTGAGTTTATACATATAAGGTACTCAAAAGAAATCTATGGCCATCAATATACCAAATAATGACTATTCCTAACTGCTTGTCTTTGTTCCTAGCAAGTATATTATTCTCTTAGTCCCCCAAACTTTCTCAAAAGCAAGCTGAATTGTTAGTGGCCTGTCAAAAACACTAAAAACAAAGCTAAGGGTGAATCTGGTAGAGAAAATGTAATGAAATAGAAAGTCTACATCTGGCTTGGAGCACCTATACCTTAGTGGCTAGGGCACCAGCCATATACACGGGAGCTGGCAAGTTTGAACCCAGCCTGGGCCTGCCAAACAACAATGACAATTACAACAACAACAAAATAGCCAGGCACAGTAATGGGTGCCTGTAGTCCCAGCTATTTGGGAGCCTGAGTTTGAGGTTGCTGTGACCTGTGATCCCACAGCACTCTATGGAGGGCAACATAATGAGACTCTGTCTCAGAAAAAAAGAAAAGAAAGTCTACATAAAAGTGAAACCTCTTACTAATTTCCTCAGATTCCCTCCCCCCAACAAGTGGAGGGAGGGGGGAGAAAGGGGCTCGGCACCTGTGGCTCAAGTGGCTAAGGCGCCAGCCACATACACCTGAGGTGGCAGGTTCGAATCCAGCCCCGGCCTGCCAAACAATGACAGTTGCAACCAAAATATAGCCAAGTGTTATGGCACTGTGGTCCCAGCTACTTGGGAAGCAGAGGCAGGAGAATTGCTTAAGCCCAGAGTTGGAGGTTGCTGTGAACTGTGATGCCAGGGCATTCTACCCAAGGCGACAGCTTGAGGCTCTGT